GGCGGGTCCCAGCGGGAATATGTCTTTGGCAGATGGCGAGCTCTACGCCGGGACCGTCAGCAACTTCCAGGGCAATGAGCCGACCATCTCCCGCAGCCAGGAGAGCCGCATCGCCCTCAAGACCGAGAACTCCCTCAACTGGCTGCAGGGTGAGTGCTGGGGCTGGGGCTGGCATGGCCGGCTGGGGTCCCTGTGCCCGATGGTGTGGGAGGCGAGGGACAGGGCCGGCAGTGCTGAGGGTTCCTGTATCCCCCCCCAGACCCAGCCTTCGTGGGCTCAGCCTACCTGCGGGAGAGCCTCCCTGCCGGCAACCCCGAGGGCGATGACGACAAGGTCTACTTCTTCTTCAGTGAGACTGGGAAGGAGTTTGACTATTTTGAGAACACCATCGTYTCCCGCATCGCACGCGTGTGCAAGGTGGGTATAAGGCAGCAGGGGTGCGTGGGGGTCATGCCTGGGGTGCGATTCCCTGCTGGGGTAGGGGGGATGTGGAACCATTCTGCACATCTCCAGTGCTTGGTACCTGGACCCATGCTCCATTCACTCATCCCYTGGGATTCCCTGCGGCCACGCCATCGCACCGTGACCYGCTGTGCTGTGCTGTGCTGYGCAGGGGGACCAGGGCGGGGAGCGCGTGCTGCAGCGGCGGTGGACAACCTTCCTGAAGGCACAGCTGCTCTGCTCACACCCTGAGGATGGGTTCCCCTTCAACGTGCTGCAAGACATCTTTGTGCTCACCCCGGGCGAGCTGCGCTGGAGGGAGACGCTCTTCTATGGTGTCTTCACCTCACAGTGGTAAGTGATGGAGACCCAGGGCAGCACGGGGGGCTCGGCAGAGCCAGGACCTGATGTTTCCGTGGGCTCTGCCTCTCCCCACCAGGAACAAGGGTGGGCTGGGCAGCTCGGCCGTCTGCGCCTTCCCCATGCGCAGCGTGCAGCGTGCTTTCAGCGGGCTCTACAAGGAGGTGAACCGCGAAACGCAGCAGTGGTACACGGACACCGGCCCTGTGCCAGAGCCCCGGCCAGGCACGGTAGGTGCCCCCTTGGTGCCTTCCCGAGCTCAGGATGCAGCACTGCCCCCGTTGCTCTCCTGGTCCCGGTGACTGCCGCATCACGGCACCTGCCCGCTTCCCCAAGCCCTGCTGAGCCTCTTCTTCTCCCTGCAGTGCATCACCAGCCACACACGACACCTGAAGATCAACTCGTCGCTGCAGATGCCGGATCGGGTGCTGAACTTTATTAAGGACCACTTCCTGATGGACAGCCCTGTGCGCAGCCAGCCGCTGCTGCTGCAGAGCCACCAGCGCTACCAGCAGATCGGCGTGCACCGTGCACAGGGCCTGCACAGCACCTACGATGTCCTGTTCCTGGGCACGGGTTGGTGAAGGCAGGCTCTGACGGGGCAGGGTGTGTGCCAAGCACCCCCACCCCATTCAGCATGGCCCCTCTGTTTGCAGATGACGGGCGGCTGCACAAGGCYGTGCGGGTTAACCGTGGTGTGCACATCATCGAGGAGATCCGCCTCTTCCCTGCTGGGCAGCCCATTCTTCAGCTGCTGCTGGACCAGGACCAGGCAGGAGCCAGGGCAAGGGGGRACTCTGGGAGCTCAGCCTGCTTGGGGCAGGCCCTGTTTGTGGGCTGGGGGACATGGACCTGAGGAGGCAGGGGTGTTCAGGAGCYGACTCCACTGACCCCCCTGTGTCCACTCCTGCAGGGCCTTGTTTACGCAGCCACCTACACGGCAGTGGCCCAGGTACCCTTTGCCAACTGCAGCCTGTACCGCAGCTGTGGGGAATGTGTGCTGGCACGGGACCCCTTCTGTGCCTGGAGCCGGGGTGCCTGCCGCAGGGTCAGCCCACACCCTCCAGCACACCCACAGTAAGTGCTGCACCCTCCTTCATCCCCCTGCACCCTACAACACCCCACTGCCCTGCCCTCACTCTGTTCCCAGGCTCTGGGCACAGGACATCGAGGATGCTGACACAGAGCGGCTCTGCCAGCTGGCCAACGCCTCCCACCCCCGTCCCCGCATCCTCTTGCCCCCAGGTGAGCTTCTGCGGGTGCTGCTGTCTGAGAGATATCCCAGCCTCCTGCTCTACCACACTCCCATGAGCCCCCTGCCCACTGTTGGTGTCCCCTCCCTGATGTCCCCATGGGTTCTCTCTGCAGCCTCCGGCACCCCGTGCCAGTGGATCCAGCTGCCCCCCAACACGGTGCGGCCGCTGCCGTGCCAGCTGCTCTCCAACCTGGCCTCACGGCACTGGCTGCACGACGGGGCTCCTGTCAACGCCTCCTACCTGGTGCTGCCCGACGGGGCCCTCATCCTGGTGGGCAGCCCCGAGCGTGCAGGCACCTATGAGTGCTGGTCACTGGAGGAGGGATTCCGCAAGCTGATGGCCAGCTACTGTGTGAGTGTACAAGAGCCGGCTCATGGGCCGCCCGACTCTGGCAGGAAAGTGGCTGCTGGCCGCGATGCCCTGGAGACTGTCAGCACATCCCGGAGCACCTCGGCGGTGGGCAGCGCTGCAGCAAGGCTGGACGGCAAGAGCTACTGGACCGAGTTCTTAGTGATGTGTGTGCTCTTTGCTGCTGCCGTTCTCGTGCTGGCCTTCTTTGTCCTKCACCGGCACCGTGACGGCATGAAGGCCTTGCTGGAGCCCAGTGACCCTAGCAGGCACCAGAAGCCGCCCCGCAAGCCAGTGGAGAGCCTGCCCCTGAATGGCAGCAGCCTGCCCAGCACGGCTCCCGAGCACAAGGGCTACCAGGCCCTGCAGGACAACTACATCGTGAGTACGCCCGTGCATGAGCCCCCAGGCCCCCCACGTACCTTTTCTGAGTCAGAGAAGAGACCTCTCCACGTCCGGGACAGCTTTGTGGAGGTGTCTCCCGCCTGCCAAAGACCCCGGGTGCGCCTGGGCTCCGAGATTCAGGACTCGGTGGTGTAACAGGGATGGGAGTCAAGCCCCCACCCACGACCGCCTCTGCTCTGCTGAGCCTTGCCGGACCGCGCACCGCAGCCATGGTCCGTGTTGTCTGTTTGTGCATGGCCGGAGCCTGGTACCCACACCCTGTGGCAGCATCCACCGGATGATGGGGTCTGGACCCCCGGGGGCTCCCTGGGCATCACCTTGGTACTGGTGGGTGTGAGTGTGAGAGGTGCCACATGCCCTCCAGGGACCTGCAGGACTGTTCCAGAAGTGTCCCTTCTGCAGAGATAGATGTGGTTCCTGGCTCAGGCTGSTGGCGCAGCCCCAGCTCCGTGGGGCCCTGACGCCCTCTATGCAGAGGGCAGGAGGGGGCAGCCGCAGACCCCTCATGCCCCAACTCACTGTGACGTCCCACTGTGGGACCCAGGGCCACGCGTGCGGCTGGGCAGTGCCRGCCCGGCATGTGCTGTGTGTCTGTGCTCGGTTCGTTTTTAATATGTGGAAAATGTGAATTGTGTCTGGGGAAGGGGAGTCGGGAGCAGCTCCCCCCACGCTGGGTGGGCAGGGACACCCCCGTGGCCCCATGTGCGTGTGCAGAAACGTCTGTTGTTTTTATATAAAGTCCTTTGGACACGTGTGTGTGTGTGTGGCAGGGCTGAGTTCCTTCCTAGGCCAGAACCATCCCAGTTGGCCCCACAGAGAGGAGCCGTGTCTGGCTCTTGCTGCAGTCAGAGGAAGATCTGCCCATGGCTTCAGTGGGCCTGGAGGACTGTGCTGGCTGTCAGATGTGTGGAGTCCCCTCCTTGTGTGCTTGGCCGAGTGTTGGGCCAGGGCACGTGGGGCCCTGCAGGGGCAGTGGCTGTGTGCCGTACAGGGACACTGCCCAGGGCTGTGCCGACTGTCCCTGTGACCTGCTGGCAGGCTGTTACTCAGGCAGCCCTCGGCTGTCCCAGAGCCGTGCCTGGAGGCCTGTGCTGTGGCAGCATGATGCGGGGAGCTGCTGTGGTGGAGGAGCACAGAGCAATGGGGTGMGGCCATCTTGGCACCATGAGAAACAGGAGAAAGCTGAGGTGACTAGGAGTAAGAAAATTTGGTGCTTGGGACCAGGAGGAGGGCAGGTCCCATCAGGAGAGAGGCTGTGACAGCCCCCTTCCCAGACCACTGTGTTGTGCTGCACATGGAACCCACTGCCCGCCCAGGGAGCAGCAGGTCTGTGTCCCCATCCCACCCTGCCGTGGRTAGACCCTGGACACTTGGCCAGCAGGTCCTGACTCCARGGTGGCTGAGGGCCAGGACTGGGAYTGTGGTGTAGTGCTGCTTGTGAGCCCTTACACACGTGGGAAGCACCAGCAGTGCCAGAACAGGGCTGGGGGAAGTGATGAGATCCACACAGARCTGGCATGTCCAGGCAGGATCCCCCTGAGGAACCAGCACTGCCTTGCTCCCAGCTGGACCCATGCACTGAACTTCCTGCACAGCCTGTTCTGGGACATCAAAAAAGCCACTGGAGGCACTGGCTGGTGAGCTGCCAGGAGACACAGCCACAGGGCAGGGCCACAGGTCTTGGAGGGCAGCTACCATCAGCGCCACRGGGCAGTAAGCTGGAAGGGCTGGCAGTGCCAGGAGCAGGAACCACTGCATGAGAAACAGCCGTGCCAGAGCCSTGAGAGCTGTCAGCTGCTTTGCCCCTGTGTGGGGGTTCTGTGGAACCAGCCGGACCCCAGGCCCCACACTGGTCCTGGCAGGGCTGCTGGCTGCAGGCCAGGGCACAGACAATGCCTGAACAAACACAAAGGACCCTGGTGCTGTCTGCAGTGATGGTACTGCTCGCCTGCCCAGGATCTCCCTTGATGCCACTGGCATGAACGTTAAGCTCTTTGTGCTGCCCAGAATGACCCCAGAGTGGAGGAGGGAGGGAAGGAGGTGGCCCACAGAAAGGGCTGTGGTGGAGCAGGACGTGGAACCCATCCCCTGGAGTGGTGGCTGGCACGCAGGCAGAGGGCCTTGGCAGGAGACCATGTCCCCAACACCCTCGTGGCACCCGTCCCGCAGCCGGACAAAGGCAGCAAAGAGCAAGGGTGAAACCAGAGCCCTTTAATTGTGTCTTCACAGGGACCGGGGGAGGAAGAGGCCAGGGCAGCAGAGCAGCTGCTGGGCTGGAGCCAGAAGAGGGACAGAGAGGGAAAGGCTAGAGGAGAAGGAGCAGGCTCTGAGCACAGCTGTGGGGGAACAGCTCTGCTGTGGTGTGACACCTGTACAGTGAAACCTGGGTGACTGCTCAGAGAATGCACCCCCGTTTAGGTTATTGCTCATGAAAAATTATGTACATTTTGGTTATTGCTCAGAGGCTCCATGTTTGGGTTATTGCTCAGAGAAATTGATCCATGTGGCAGCAGGGAGGCTCCCAGAAATACAGGAGAGGCAGGAAGAGGCTGGCAGGGGAGGCAGCTCCCTGCCTGCTGCTGGAAGGCACGACATAGGAATTGGTCCTGAGGGCAGAGAAGGGCTGTGCTGGTGTAGCGTGGTCCCAGACAGGAGTAGCTCTTCCTTCCTCACCTGCAGAGCTGCCCTTGGAATGCATAAGGATTCAAACTCTTGTGCTGGTAGAGCAGAGGGCATGCAGGAGAGGCAGATTCCTGGAGCCCCTGCTGCCAAGCAGGCACCTGAGAGGGAGCAGGAGGGTTCCTGCCCAAGGCATTGCAGCACGGCTGGRCCAGTGAGGGGCTGGGCTGTGCTCCCTGAAAGAGGAAATGGCTGAGCCCACAAAGAGCTGCAGGAACCAGAGGAGTGCTGGAGAAACTGGAGAAGTATTGCTGGACAGCCGGGGCTCACAGGATAATCTTGAAGGAGCTGCAAGAGATGTGAGAAGTTCAGCACCTGCTTGYCAGGTGACACAAAGGGTTTACAAGCACCCAGCACTGCAGGGACCCACATCTCAGTGTGGAAGAGGCTCTGCAGAGCCAGCCTGGGATGCAATTCCCTCTGCCATTATAGCAGACTCGGCACAAGGCAGCCCTGCCCTCCTGCCACCAGTGCCAGCTCAGCAATCAGGGTGATGAACCCCCAGACAGCCCCTGGAGACCACCGCACCTGGCAAAGTCCGGGGAGCGGGAGACAATGTGCTGGAACTCAGAGAGGTTGATGGTGCCATCCTTGTCGATGTCAGACTCCTCCAGGATCTGTGGGGGAAGGTGAGTGGTGAGCTCTGTGCCTGAGGCCRTGCAGTTCCCGTGCCCTGGCCAACAGGCCTCACATTTTGGATGAGCTGCTCCATCTCTGCGCTGTTCAGCCGGGACTCCTCACCCTGCCCTGTYAGGCAGTTCACCAGTTGTTCCAGGTCCTTCCTGTCCAAAGTTCCRTCATCATCAAAGTCTGTAAGAAGAAAAAAGGTAGGTTTGGCAGGGCTGCAATGACCCCAGGCAGTCACAAGCACTGGCACTGTACTGCTCTGTGCACCTCACCATGCCAAACCAGCAGTTCCCACTGGGAGTTCCTAAAGCCACCATCCCTGTGGTTGTTCCGAGGGCACCACCAGCCCTCCTGAACATGGATTCATCACCCTGCTCTCGCTTCCCCAAGGTGCAGGGATCCCAGAATGTGGTACCTGTCCCAAGCCTTACCAAAGATGCGGAAGGCATAATGGGATTTGATCTCAGACGTGGCAGAATCACTGAAGGCACTCAGCATATCAAGGAAGTCTTCAAACGACATGCTGTCATCCCCAGTCTCTGAGGTTGAGAACACATGGCAGATCCGGTGCTGGAAGGGGTTTGCCTGTAGACAGGGAAATGGCTCAGGCAGGGCTGGGCCATGCTGGCTTCATCAGGCTCATACTGGCTCTGGCTGCTGCTCTGGAAGTGAGCAAATGCCACACTTTGCCACCACTCTAATACCCACAGCATGGCCAAACCTGTCCTGTGTCTCCTGGGATGCAGCCCTGTGCAACAGGGATCTGCAAGATACTTTGTGGCATAGCAGGAATCTCCAGGATCCTCCACAACAGGGATCCTTGGAATCCTCTRTGGTACAGCAGGGATCCCTGGGATCCTCAGTTGCTCGATGGGGTTAAGGAAGCTCTTTGCTGGCACAGCAACAGACACAGGACAGAGCACTGGCACAGCGAGGCCGTGGTGGGTACATGTGGTACTGCCCAAACACACCCCTRATCCAGGAGCAGCAGTGTCCCGTGCCTGCCAGGCACCATACCCGCAGCTCAGGCAGCATCAGGATGTCACTCTTGGGAACCCGTGCGGAACAGGCATTCTCCCTCATCTCCTTTGGCAGCAGTTCACTGAACCTCTTGTAGGCACTTTAAGAGGCAAGAAAAAGAGCGGCTCTGTGATTGGAGCGGGGTGGCAGCAGCCCCTCTGGGCACCGGCCGCACCGGCAATGCTTCCCAGGGCCGGGTGACCCGTTCCCACCGCTCCTGCCAGCTTTGCCGGGCGGGAGCGTGTCGGCCGGGGGTCCCACAGCTGCTCCCGGGACCATGGAGAGGAGCCGGTCTGGCTGCTGCCCACTCCGAGGTCTGGGGCTTCAGAGGGAGCACCGCGGGCTCGGGCCAGCCCTCTGACCCGCTGGTCAGGGCGTCACTGGCCCGGCCCTCGCCACCAGCAGCACCGCGGACCTTCGCCCCTTGACACCCGGCTGGCAGGGAGTGCCACCGGCACCTCCCGGCTCAGCTGGGCGTCTCAAGGGAACGGGAGCCCCTGGGCAGAGCCAGGGAACGGGAACCCGGGGAGCTCAGGGTTCGCGCCTCCGTCCCGCCCCACTTAGGGCATTCCGCCCSGCGGTACTCACAGCAAGATCTCCTGCTTGCTCAGGAATGTCAGCTCCTGCGGGGAGGGCACGGGTCAGCACCGGCACAGCGGCCAAGGTCTGACCCAGGGCACCCAGCCATGGGTTACTCGGCCCCCGGGCACCTTCCGCCTCGGGACCACGCCGCCCTCCGGTGCCCCCCACTGCAGCCCCTGTGTCCCGGTGGCGGTGTCCGTACCTGGTACTCACTCAGGGCGTCCCGCGGTAGCAGGCTGGCCGAGCCGCCCATGGCGCCGCTTCTCCCCGCACGTCACTCGCCTGTTGCCATGACAAGGGCCGGCCCGGGGCGGTGCAAGCACGTCCGCACGCACACGCAGCCCCGCCCGCCGCGGAGCACACGCCCGGAGCCGCGGGTTCGCGGCTGCGCTCGTCCAACACCGGCAATGGCGGAGACGGCGGAGGCGATRGCGGGAGGGGAGGGGAGCGAGCCGACCTCCGAGGAGTTCGTGTACGGCGAGGAGGACTTCGTGCTGCAGGCAGCCGGCTGGGGCGACGCGGACTCCGCGCCCTCCCGGTTCGACCGGGTGTTGCTGGCCGGCTGGAGCGACCGCATGGAGCGGGGGSTGTTCCGGTACCGGCTGGGACCGCTGCCCACCCGCGTCCTGCCCGGCTCTGTGCGCCTCGTGGCGCAGCTGAACGAGCAGCGCAGCGCCGAGCGCCGCCCGCCGCAGCCCGTCCGTAGCCTTCGGGACCCCTTCGACCCCGGCGCCTTCAACTTCACCCGGCTGCGCTCCGCAGAGCTGCTGTTCCGCCTGCGCCGCTCCGGGGGCCCGGGGCCGCCACCTGACCCGCTGCTGGTGGCCATCAACGCCAGCCCGCTGGAGCGGGGACACGTCCTGCTGCTGCCAGAGCCGGCACGGCGGCTGCCCCAGGCGCTGACGGCCCCGGCGCTGCACGGGGCGCTGGAGGCGGCGCTGCTCAGCGCCCACCCGGGATTCCGCGTGGGTTTTAATGGGCTGGGCGGCGGCGCCTCGGTGAACCACCTGCACCTACACGGGCTCTACCTGAGCCACCCGCTGCCGCTGGAGGAGGCCCCGGCCGAGCCGCTGGGGCCACATCTGGGGCTGCTCCGCGCCGGACCGGCCCCCGCCTTCCTTTTCTTCGCCGCCGGCCCCGCGGCGCTGGAGCCGGTGTCGCGGGCCGTGTGCCGGGCGGCGGAGCACCTGGACGGCGCCGGGCTGGCCTACAACGTGCTGGCCACGCGGGGTGACCCGCCGGCGGGGCCCGGGACCGGAGGCGGCCGCGGGCTGCGGGTGCTCCTGTGGGCGCGCCSACCCATCTTCGGCCCCAAGGCGGGTGAGCCCTTCGCCGTGGCGTTGTGCGAGYTGGCGGGGCTGCTGCCGCTGCCTACCGAGCCGCTCTACCGGGACATCACCGAGATGCAGGCCCTGAGCGCCATCCGCCAGCACCTGCTGCCCGAGCCCGAGCTGCTGCACCTCGGCGGGGAGCTGGCGCGTCTGCTGGAGAGAGAACCGATGGCACCGGCCGCGGCTGGGCTGCTGCAAAGCTGACGGCACCGCACCGGCGCTGCTGCCTCCGCGCCGCTCGGCAGGGGCCGCTGTGCGGCGGAGGATGCGGAACTGAACGTCACGTGACCGCATGGGGCCGCTCTGGCCGGCAGCGCCCGCGTCTCCATGGTCCGGTCGCCATGGGAACGCGGCGGACCCGGGAGCGGTGCGATGGCGGCGGCGGGCGGCGGCGGGGGAGGTGCGGCCCGGGGCCCTCCCCCGAGACCCCCTCCGGGGGAGCAGGCGGCCGTTGCCGCGGCCCCCCCGGACCGTCCCGCTGCCCCCGCCGGACCCGAGCCGAGGAGGAAGCGCAGGCGAGTGTGAGGCCACAGCCTCCGGCCAAGGCCTGGAGGGAGCCCATCAGCCACTCCCGGGGGCGCTTCCCTCTGCCTCACTCGCACGCGGYCCCGGGCAGAGCCCAGCCGTGACCCGACCCCCTTGCTCCCCATGGGACAATGCCCAGCCGGTTCCCGACGCTCCCCAAGCCCCAGGAGGCGGTCCGGGGCCCCACTGACCCAAAATAAATAGCGTTCCCCTGAAATTGCCCCAGCGATCCCCTGTGTGACACACCCAGGCAGGGCTCCGTGCTCAGGACCAGCCTGCCCGTCTCCTCAGGGCTGTACCGAACACGGGCTGGCTGGGTCAGACTTCCCTGTGTGCTCTGTGTGTGTGTGTGTGTGTGTGTGTGTGTGTGTGTGAGGGATCAGGGCTGTGTCCCCACTCCATCCCATGCCTGGTGCCTTATTAAGCTACTGTCATCTCATCTCTCTATTCCAGTGTCCCCTCCATCAACCTGAGCGGCTGCAAGTACGAGAGTGGTAAGTCAGAGGGGCTGGGGAGTCCCTGCAGGCTCCTCCAGGTGCCTGCACAGCCAACAGGAGCAGTGCTGGCACCCAGTTCCAACTGGTTTATTTGCTGCTGCTAATGACTGGCCCAGGGTCCTTGTGTTAGTGAGGAGTTTGTCACACTTTAGATTGAGATTTCCCCTGATTTAAAATATACAACAGCAGCATGAGCCCTCGACATCCCCACACACACACTTGCATTTGCCAACTGTCTGCTAAAATGGGCAAGAAGGGTTCTATCAGGTACAGTGCAATGGGGGTCTGGGCTTGGAGACAGGACCTAGGGGTACTCAACTGTTTTAAGATAAAGTTGGAAGTGGAACAGGCAGGATGTGTACCTGGAACCCCTCCYTGTGCTGTCCATCCATGATGACTCCAGGGAGCTGGTCCACTCTTACTTCTTTCCACAAGCTAGATCTTGAAAGAACAAGCTCCTGGCCCTTGAAGGTGTTATCAATCTACTTTGCTAAGGGATCTTGGTGTGCATGGATCCCCATCACCTCCCCAGCCCTGCCAAATTCATACTTGGCACTAGCATGAGCCATACCAGCAGAGACCTTTTGCCACAGAGCTGCGTCTTTGGCTGCCAAAAGACCTTTTATTTGGGAGACTAAATTCACACTTTTTCAAGTTTTGTATGTGCTTGTGAGGTGTAAGACCCATGGCATGTTCAACCCTGCTGTCAAGAGATCCTGGCACCTCAAGACAGGTGGAATTAGAGGGTTAAGAGCTTCCAGATCATCTGCAGCCAGAAGCTTGGGGGTTGGTCAGATAAAATTGGTGTTCCTGACACCTTCCAARGGGTCTTGCCAATACCTTATACCTCTGAGATGGGAACTGCAGTTCGGAGAGACTGTTCCATTCTCCATCCCTCATTGTTTTGGGGGGTGTCCATTCCTGTGTGTGGCTCCTGAGCCCAGAGATTTGTTTCAYATTCCATCCCTGGTTATTTTGGGGGTTTATCAGTCCCTGTACMTAGCTCCCCTGCCTAGCCCCTGTCACTGCTTGCCTTGGCACAGTGCGGCGGGCGGCACAGCACTGCGGGCTGAAGGAAGTGGGAGAAAACGAGGAGTGGACTGTGTACTGGACGGACAGCTCGGTCTCTTTGGATCGCCTCATGGAAATGAAGCGGTTCCAGGTAAACAAAGTGGCTGCCCAGCAGAAATTTCTCAGGGAGGAGAGTGACTCAAGGCTGTCTATAGAACAGCATGTGGCAGAGTGAAACACAAGCATCCAAAGCAGTGCCATGCACCATCTATGCCCTGGCTCCAGGGCATAGTGTGAGATGTCTTTCCTTGTGCCATGTCCCTGGTTGGTGTCCCCAGGAGCATTTGGCTACTGTGGTGGGAGCAGGAGCATTCCAGCCCTGTAATGTGCTGTGAAATAAACAGTCCTTGATGATAAATGGCTCTTGCAGTGCTCCAGGGCTGAGATGGTATGAGCAGATAAATCACTAGTGAAGCTCAGATAAAGCAGTTCAAGGCAGCSACAGGCCTGCCTTCCCACTTGCTGCTGGTTCTCCACACACAGGCTCTCCTCGGGATTGGGAGAATCCATCCCTACAGGGCCTCCACTGATCCGGGTGTTTCTGCCCTGCTTTCAGAAAATCAACCACTTCCCAGGCATGATTGAGCTGTGCCGTAAGGACTTGCTGGCTCGCAACATGAACCGCATGCTCCGGCTCTTCCCCAAGGAGTACAACATCTTCCCCCGCACGTGGTGCCTGCCAGCCGAGTGAGTGGTGTGGGACAGTGCCTTGGGATGGGGTGGTACAGGGAGAGGGAGGCTGCCCACCTGCTCTCTCTAGGCACCAGAGCCCAAGWCTTATTTGCTCTGGCATGCATCGTGGTGATCTCCAGCTGGAGATGTGTGGAAGGAAAAGGTGGGATGTGGAGAGCTAGGTTAGGTAGCTCCTGTAGACTAGGAATGGGCATTCTCTTCCTCTCCTGCAGAAGTTCAGTGTGTTCTGGCCTGCAGTGCCATGGTTTCAGTACCCAGCTGTTAGGAGAGAGTTCAGAGGGATGTTTTGTGCAGCTGGTGATAGTCACCCCTTCCTTGCACAGCTACGGAGATTTCCATGCCTACAGATCCACRAGGAGAGCAAGAACATTCATCTGCAAGCCCGACAACAGCTGCCAGGGAAAAGGGATCTTCATAACCCACCACCCAGAGGAGATCAAGCATGGGGAACGCATGATCTGTCAGCAGTACATCTCTGAGGTACTGGGACAGTTGCAGAACACCGGGGTAGGATTCCAGCCTTCTCACTCTGCCAGCATCCCCCATGCTTCCCGTGTCTCCTCAGGGCTGCTGGAGGTGTGGGTGTGACTGCAGCTCAYTGGGGATGCAGGCAAAGCTTGCCCCTTTCTGCTGAGCAGCACAGGCAGATGGAGCAGTTCCTCACCTCACCCTTGCTTGCCTCTTTCCCCACAGCCCTTCCTCATCGATGGCTTCAAGTTTGACATGCGCATCTACGTGCTGGTCACGTGCTGCGACCCGCTGAGGATTTTCSTCTACAAGGAGGGCTTGGCCCGGTTTGCCACCATGAGGTACATCGATTGCAGCAGCAGAAACCTGGTAAAAAGGAAGTTTCAAAAAAACTCATATAGTATCTGTAGGTGTCAGTCCTTAACTTGTCCTGGGTCATTCSATGCCTTGAAAAGGCAGGTATTGGGGGTTTCGGGAGTCCCATCTTGCTGCTTTCCTGTTCTCCCTCTATACCCATTCTTCCTCTTCATGGGAGGTATCTCAGGAGGGATAGTAGATCTACCCCAAAGCTCCACATTTGGGCTTTTTACTGGCATTACCACAGAATCATGGAGTTGTTTGCTTGGATGGAACATTGGAAGGTCTCCAGCCTCTTGGTCAACAATAAATTCAGATCTGGTTTCCTGAGGTCTCATCCCATTARGTTTTGAAAACCTGCAGAATGAAGCCCCCTGGTGTCTGTGGGCAGCATGTTCCTGCCTCTGGCCCTGATGAGGGTGCTCAAYTCCACATCATGCCTACTCTGTCCATGCTTCCTGCAGAAAAGAACATGGGAGTGTCTGGTGGGGCTGTTTCTGCTCTTGCTCAGTGGTTGAGAGTAAACAAATGTCTCTTGTGGTTCCCTGCCAGGGTGACATCTGCATGCACCTGACCAATTATGCAATCAACAAACGCAATGAGAACTTTGTCAAGGATGACACGACCGGCAGCAAGAGGTACTGGCATATGTGGACACTGCAAGGACACTGCCTGGGGACACTGGTTTACCTCAGCTTTGCTGGGGTGACACAGCTGACCCCTTACCACCTCCTGTCCCCCACGCAGGAAGCTGTCCACTCTGAATGCCTGGATGGCAGAGCACAGCTATGACACAACAAAACTCTGGGCAGATATTGATGACATTGTTATAAAGACACTGATTTCAGCTCACCCTGTGGTGAAACACAACTACCAGAGCTGCTTCCCCAATCACAATACTGCCTGCTTTGAGATCCTTGGCTTTGACATTTTGCTGGATAGAAGGCTGAAGCCATGGCTGCTGGAGGTGAGGAAAGAGTGAAGAGCTCAGCTGAGGGAGGCTCTGGGACAGGGGAATTGGGATGAACAGGGCTTCCTTGATTCAAAAGGGCCACCTTGCTTAGAGAATTACCAGCCTTTGAAGCCAAATGCCCTGCTGTGAGCAGGAYTCAAGAGAACCCATTTCCTGCACACCCTCTAACACCCTCTAACCTTGTCCTGGGAGCACCCTAAATTTGTGACAGCTGCCCCCTGCCTGCACCCTGTGGGGTGGGATCCAGGTGACCTGTAGCACAAGTGGGCACCACACTGCAGGAGAGTGCTGCATGTGGCCTCCCACTTCCTGTCTGACACAGGGAAGAGCATCCATGGACAGTGGGATGTGGATGGGGCCATGGGCTGGGAGTTGGAGTGCCAGATTAGGTTACCTGCTTGTTTTGGCAGGTGAACCACTCTCCCAGCTTCAGCACAGATTCTCAGCTAGACCATGAGGTGAAGGATGCCCTTCTGTGTGACACGTTCAACCTGATCAATGTGCACGCTTGTGATAAAAAGAAGGTGATGGAGGAAGACAAGCGGCGGGTAAAGGAACGGCTYCTCCAGGCCAACCAGGCTCTCCGTGAGTCCAGGTATTGCTGGTCCACCACAGTGCTGCAGGTCCCCAGTGTGCAAAGACAGGGCATTACAGAGCAGGATAACACCAGGGCTGGCTGGTGGAAGTTCCCAGAGCCCATGGCATTGTGCAGCCTCTGAGCTCTCCCAAGCCGTCTGCGTCCTGCAGGGAGGAGCCAGGGCTCCTCTCTGGGTGCCAGGAGATCTGTGACACCTGGTGCTCAGCCCTGACAGAGCTCTCCCCAAGCTACACTTGCTTGTCATATCTTTTGCTGGGGATGGGCAGGGCCAACATCCTGGGTTGGCAGGGATGCTCACGAGGAACCACAGCGCCATCTCAGGAACTGGGAGTTGCTGGGTCCTTCTCCAGGGCAGGGTCCTTTTCAGGGCTGAGAGTTTCCCCTTTCTCTGTCTGCATGTCCTTTCACAAGCCTGTGTTTAGCGAGTCTGCTGCCTTGCAGGCAAGGYGGGGCTCTCTCCAGCTGTTGCTTCCATCCGAAGTCCTGGGATAACCCCGGGACATGTCAGCCCTGTGCTCTGCCTGTCCCAGAGCCTCCCTCCACAGCTCTCTGTCTTCCCTCCTGCTGCAGGCGCAAGGAGCAGGAGAGCAACCAGGCTGCCTGGCTGGCACAGGCTGAGACCTACGAGAATGAGCACCTGGGTGGGTTCCGGCGCATCTACCCAGCACCTGGGACAGAGAAGTATGAGCCGTTCTTTCAGAAGGGCAGGTCCCTCTTCCAGGAAACTGTAGCATCCAAGGCACGAGAAGAGCATGCCAGGTACACTGCTCCTGTGGAAACCCACTTCAGAGGTGGCATGGAGACCACTTGCCCCTGATCCCTCCTGGGGAACAGCTCTGCTGCYTAGCAGGTGTAAGAAAGTGGGGAAAGTGGGAGGGGAAAGGAAGGAGCTTGCACACACTGTGGCACCACAGCAAGGCAGCTCCTTTTGGATGAACCCCAGAGACACGAGGGAAGTACTCCATTGACTTTTGGACCCTGGAGACACCATTTCACAAATGTCCCCCTCCCTTCTGACAGGCACAGCCTAATCCAAGGACATTTCTCTTTTTAAAAGCCTCCTTACTAGCATCCCTGTCCTATCTCATGGCACACTTCCATCATGGGCTATTCCTACAGGACTTAGGTCTGCAGTAAATGTCCTCAGGTCAAAGGCTGTCCCATAGCCTTTTGCTCTTGTGGCTCTGAGCCAGCAAGTGACACTGCTGTTCTGTGGCAGGCAGCAGCTGGAGGAGATTCGCCTGAAAAATGAAAAGGAAGCTGCCACCAGGAAGAAGAAATTAGAGAGGAGCCACAATAAAAGCACAGGTCCTACAACCCACATCAGCCACAGAAGCACAAAGGCATGGGATAGAAAGGTACCTCAGTATCAGCATTGTGCACAGGCTCTCCAAGCCACTGACATAGCTCTGGAAGTTATGCTGGGCCGTGGGTGCTCCCATGGAGCAGGAATTCCAGGTCTGACTCCCCACATGAAGTTCAGAGTTGACAACTTGTTTTGGCAGTACTTACAAGCACCAGCGCTGTCCCTTCCCACTGTGGCCCTCACTGGGATCTCTGGCCCACCCTGAGATTGTAACTGTCCCTAGGGTTGGAGCAGCTCATGGCTTTGTCTCACCTGTATGTTATCCCAGCTTCAGCTTTGCTACAGCTCAGGTGTTTCTCTGCCGAGGTACAGCGTGTGCAGTACAACTCCATGCAGCCCCAGGACATTGTGGARCATGAGGAGAGGAGAAGAGTGAATGCTTTGCTGCAGCGTGAGAAGCTGATCCGAGACCTGGGTATCACTGACCAGCTTTCCCGGCTGCTTCCCGTAGCTGACACCCAGGGATCCTGCACTCTCCAGAGCCAGGTAATGGGATTGCCCAGTGACACCCCACACAGCCAAGGCAGGATAGTGAGAAATGAATTGGGCACTGAGCATCTCTGGTGGGGCAGGATGGGGGTCCTGGCTCTGCTGCAGACATATCAGCTGCTGTGCCTCCAGGGTGACGTGTCTGGAATGGTGGTGGGGGCACACCTGGGAACAAAGTGTGGGGTGATGCTTTAATGAGCACCTGTGCATGACTAGAGATTTCTTTTCCTTCCCATCTCTTGCCAAGGCTTACAGAACTAAGTTATGGCCATTTTCCTTCCCTCCTTCCAGTTCCAGTTTCCCTGGGATGTCCTTGGGGACCAAGACACGCACAACTTAATGATGCTTATATCATTCCTGGGAGTCCCAGCTCAGCCCTTGGGACCCAGGGTCATACACAGCCCCAGAGGCAAGTCCCTGCCRCCGGACATGCCAGGCCCAGATGCCAGTGACATGGACACGCTCTGCGTTCGAGGCCGGAGCGTCCCGTACCACGTGCGGCACGAGAGCCCCCGGGCACTGGGCGGAAGCTGCCTGAGGGGCCGGGCAGCACGGGCAGTGGTTACCCAGCCCTGTGCCCATCCCAAGGGGCTGCAGCTGAGAGTCCAGAGGCTCCCTCGTGTTAGAACCCAGGCTGAAGGCTGTAAGTATACATCACCTTCCTGTGAAGGCGCCTGGCCTTGGCAGGGTGGGAGGAATGGGTGGGCTGGATGGAGCTCTCAGGGATAYGGGGACATGGCAGAAGGGTTGCCATGCTCTGTTTTGGGCACTGGTAACTGCTGGAAGTCTCTCTGAGGCTTGCAGCATCCCATTTGCAGGGACGGGGGAGAACCATGGGTGGCTTCCCAGGGTCAAGGGTTGATGTGCAGGCTTAGGGAGTGTGAGAAGCCAGGAAGGTCAAASGGGTGTGTTAGCTGCTAGGGATCAGAAGGAACATGGTGCCACAGCACAGCCCCCAGCCTCTTCCCAGGCCACACTCCCACCACACTGCTCCCTGCCCATGCTCTCACCCTCCATCCTTGYCCAGCCCTACCCGTCTGCCTGGCATCGGCTTCATCCACTTTGCAGCCTTAGGACCAGGGGAGCAGGGGCAGAGGAGGGCTGCCAGGATAAAGTCCCACCAGGAAGGGCAGTGGGGGCTGCTGAACTGCAGAGCTGCTGGCTCTGCACAGACTCGCATCGGTTTGTGCTGTTCCAGATGATGCTGGTAGTCTGTCATCCTCCCAGGAAGGCAGCTGTCCCCCAGCTTCCCCAGCCAGCCCAGGGCAGGCCACAGGCGATGGCATCTTCAGCTGTGCTGTGGTCCAGGAGCTTCCCATCGCCACTGCTGTTCACGTGCAGCACACCCACGCCTCACACCATGGCAGAGCCTCGACGTGCCAGTGTGTCACACCATGCCAGAACCTTGCACTATGCCAGTGCCTCACACACTCACAGCATGAAAAGCACAGGTAACATGGCCAAGGGCTCAGCCTTCCTCCCACCTGTGCTTGCAAGAGAACCAGGACTGCGAAATAGGTTGGCTGCCTCCATCAACTCGCAGACTGAGCAGAGCCCAGCCCCAGCACGGCTCCAGCCACCTGCCCCAGCTAGCTTCACCTCTGCCGGGAACGGAGGCTGGTGTTGTGCCCCTACCCGTGCCCTACCTGCACTCGTATCTGTGACTCCCAAACGCCTGCAGCGAAGCCCTGCAGCAGCTACCTCGCTTCGGACCCGTCGGACCCCCGCTTCCCCCGCTGGGGCCACCTCCCCCGCCGGCCCCGCCCGTTCCTGGGCCTGTTGCCGGCCATGGCGGTGCTGCTCCAGCGCGGGCTGCGAGCGCTGCCGCTCCTCGCTGGGGCCCCGCGGCGGGCGGCGGCGGCGTGGCCCGGGGACCCGGAGCTGCCGGACCCGGCGCTGGAGAAGGCAGAGAGGTGCGGAGCGGTCGGCTCGGGGCCGGGGCCTGTGCCAGCCCGGGCGCTCACGCGTGTCCCCCGCAGGGCGCGGCGGCGACGGACGGCGGCGCGAATGGAGCGGCTGCGGCGGGAGCTGGGCGGGGAGCGCGGAGCCCCCGATCGTGTCCTGACGTGGCAGGCGATGGAGCAGCTGCGGTGAGCGCGACACCGGGCGGGCCGCGCCGGGCCCCGTGACCGGCCCGGTGACCGTGCCCATGCCCGCAGGTTCCTGCGGCAAGAATCGCCTGAGGAGTGGCCGCTGGAGCGCYTAGCCCAAGGCTTCGGCGTCAGCACCGACGTGGTACGGCGGGTGCTGCGAAGCCGCGGCTGCCCCTCACCGCGCCGTCGGCTGCGGCAGGACCAGCGCGCACTGAGCGCCGCCGCGAAGGCTCCGGGGGCGGGGCCGGGACGGGGAGCGGGGGACGGGCACGAGGTGCGCGCCCCCGACGGGACGCTGTTGTACCGGCTGCCGCGGGGCTGGGGCGGGCCGGGGTCCAGCGCGCAATAAACGGTGTTGGGACCCGCCTCCACCCGCGTTGTTTCCGTCGCGCCGGGCACGGTCTCCGACACGGCGGGGATGGGCTCCGAGAAGCCGGCAGTGGATTCCGATGTTGCGGCCGTGGGCTCTGCTGCGCCGGCTCTGGGCTCCGCGGCGGCGGGCACGGGCTCCGAGTTGGCGCGGCTGCTGGAGGCGGCGGACTTTGCGGCCAGGAAACACAAGGAGCAGCGGCGGAAGGATCCCGAGGGCACTCCCTATATCAACCACCCCATCGGTGCGGAAACCCCCCGGCACCGCGTCCCTCTCCCGGRAGACCCCCGCGGGCCCTCTCCCCCAGAGCACCGCTCACCCCTGGGACCCCTTCCTGTCCCGGAGCCAATCCCTGGGAGCTCCTCACCCTGGCCCCGGAGGAGAGCTGTGTGCCTTCTCCCGCACCGTGTCCTTCAGCCCGATGGGAGCAGAGCCCCCGGAGTGCTGCAGCCCTCGCCCCTGCCCCAGCCGTGTGTTTGCTGTGGGAGCTCCCACCACACCGTTGCCCTGATGTGGACGGTGCCCACGGGAGCTGCAGAGCCCCGTGTCACAGTCGCACCAGCCGGGCTTGGGGACAGCACCCACTTTGTGGGCARTGCCAGCCCCCGGGACCTTCCTACCTGCCCAGCCCAAGGATTCACTGCGCAGGATGTGCCCGTGGGGTTTGCTCTGCCCAGGGTTGATCGCGGGGATACCCCACTGCCCACCGCACAGCGCAGCCCCCATTATCACCCCCGAACCACTGTCTTGGCCCGAAGCTGCTTGTCCCTCGGTGACCCCTACCACCTCCGCTCTCGCCGCAGGCGTTGCCAGGATCCTGGCGCATGAGGCTGGCGTGACGGACATAGTGGTGCTGCAGGTAACGCCCTGCCCTGTCATGCTCTGCCTTTCCCTGCCCGTTCCCCGTTGCTTGGCCCGGACCCCTGCAGTCCCCCTCGTCCCTTCATCGCCGCAGGCCGCCCTCCTGCACGACACAGTGGAGGACACAGACACCACGTTCTCCGAGATCGAGGAGTGGTTCGGGGTAGAGGTGCGGCGCGTGGTGGAGGAGGTGACGGACGACAAGACGCTGCCCAAGGCGGAGCGGAAGCGGCTGCAGGTTGAGCAAGCCCCCGGCTGCAGCCACCGGGCCAAGCTGGTCAAACTGGCCGACAAGCTGTACAACCTGCGGGACCTGAACCGCTGCACCCCGCAAGGTACCGGCACCGCGGGGACAAGGAGGAGCCCGGCTGATGGCAGCCTGCAGCTCGGGCTGTCCCTCGGCTGTGCTGACAGAGGCGCCCATTCCCCGCTCAGGCTGCCCTGGGGCTGGGCCGGCAGTGGCCTGAGGGGGCAGAGCGGGTCTGGATGCGAGGGGCCGGAAGTGACGTTATGCGTGTCCCCGCAGGTTGGTCGGCGGAGCGCGTGCAGGAGTACTTCCGGTGGGCGGCGCTTGTGGTGTCCGGGCTGCGCGGGACGAGCGCGGCCCTGGAGGAGGCGCTGCAGCGCCTGTTCGCGGAGCGCGGCATCGCCACATAACCCGCGGGGCCAATAAACGCGAAACACGCAGCGCTCGGCGTCCCATCGCTTGCTATGGCACCGCGCGCTTCCGCCGCCGCCGAGTTCCGCCCGCTCCGCACCCGCGCYCGGGGGTTCCTGGTGCCGGTCCGGCCCCACCATGGCTCTCGCCGGGCGACGCGACGCGCCCGAGCCGCCCGACTTCGGCATCTTGAAGCGGCTGGCGCGGGACCAGCTCGTCTACCTGCTGGAGCAGGTCTGGGGGGCACCTAGGCCARGGATCCCGCACCGGGGCGGGCGTAGGGAATCGGCGGGATCGGTRTCGGCCCTGGGGTTGGGGATCGGGAGTCGGGGTCAGGCGGGGCAGCCGGTGGATGGCGTCCCACGCCTGTCTGCCCGCAGCTCCCCGGSAAGAAGGACCTGTTCATCGAGGCCGATCTGATGAGCCCCCTGGACCGCATCGCCAACGTGTCCATCCTGAAGGTACTGCGGGGTCCGGTYGGACGGCCCCGGCCGCCCCTGCCCTCCGCCCCCGCCCGCGCTGAACCCGCGCCGAACCCGCGCCCTGTCCCCGCAGCAGCACGACGTGGACAAGCTGTACAAGGTGGAGACCCGGCCGGCTGCCGGCGCCAGCGACCAGTGAGTGCCCCGGCGCCGACACTGCCCGCGGCTCAGAACGCGCCTCTGCTGGACCTCTTGCTGCTCGAGCGGAGCTGCGGAGAGGAGGGTCCGGGCCAGGCAGGGACGGCTACAAGGAGCCCCTCGCTCCCCTCTGTGATGCAGGTTCTGCTTCCTGGTGCGGCCGCGGGTCAGGACGATGAGGTTCATCGCCGGTGAGTGTGGCCCCAGAGGCAGGTGCCTCTCACCCGGGTCTGGTGCTCTGCACTGCTGTGTTTAGGTCTGAGAGAGGCTCTCAGCGAGTCCTGTGCCCGGGGTCTCACTCGTGCCTGGGGTGATCGATCCCTGTGAGCCAAGGGACCATGGGCCCAGGGCAGCGGTGCCTGGCAGGGTGGGCAGCTGTACAGGGTCTTTGCGGGGTGTCCACAGATATTATCAACGCTGACAAGATGTCAGGGAGGAGCAGAAAGTACAAGATCATCTTCAGCCCCCAAAAGGTCAGTGCTGCCTGTTCCCCTGTCAGTCTGTACCTGCCCAGCTTTTGCATCTTCCACCCCTTCTACAGACACCAAAAGTTCTTTGTTTCCAACCCATAAGTGTTTAAGTAAACCCACGTACAACACCTGGGAAAGAAGCAGCCCCCCCAGAGCTTTTCCTGCTCAGAGCCTGCCTGGCCCTGAGGGTCTCCCCTTCCCTTCCAGTTCTATGCTTGTGAGATGGTGCTGGAGGAAGAGGGGGTCTTTGGTGGTGAGTAAAGCTGCAGTGCTGGCTCGGGGTAGCTAACGCTGCAGGATCCCAGTTAAATCCCAGTGCTGGGATCCTTCTGTGGGCAGGGACAGGAAAATGGGCAGGGAACGTGGGTTCTTTTGAGGTTGGCTGGCTGCCAGCCTGCGGGCAGGTATGTGCCTGCCACAGCATCAGTCCCTCTCTTCTGCCTGAGAAGAGAAGAGAGGGTCCTGCCACCCATTGTGTCTGGAGCTCCTCATGCCTTATTTTGGGGCTGCTGTGATTCTTGGGGCTCATCTTGCATAACTGTCCCGTAACCCTGTTCCAAACCCAGATGTCACCTGCGATGAATGGTCATTCTACCTGCTGCCCCTGGATGAAGACATCATCAGCATGGAGCTGCCTGAGTTCTTCCGTGACTACTTCCTGGTCAGTGGGACATTGAGAGGGGTGACAGSCCATCCTGTCCCTTGTGCCTCAGTGGGGCTGGGGACAAGGTGCTGTTTGGAGAGCAGGTGTGACATCCTGCTCAGCCCCTCAGCCTGCAGGGCGGGCCCTGTGTGTGCCTAGGGGTGGTTTTTGTCGGGGAGTGGCTTTTCCATGATGAGCAGCTTCAGGACATCCCATCACGTTCCTCCTGGAAGTTCCCAGCACAGGGCCCGCTCTGTCCCCATCCCAGTCCCCTGCCATGGCAGTCCTTCCCAGCCAGCTACCCACACTCGTTCCCTGGTCCCACAGGAGGGAGATCACCGCTGGATCAACCCCGTYGCCAGAGCCCTACAGTTGCTGAACTCCCTGTATGGCCCTTTTGGGAAGACTTACGGCATCGGCCGCTGTGCGAAGGTGTGGCTGGCGCCAGGGGTCCCTTTGGTCCCCATCACGGGTGCAGTTTGCGGGGACCTGAACCCCATCAGCTGGGTGGCAGCATGTCACCACACAGGCGGCACTGTGTTTATACCTCCTCCTGGGCAGATTTTTGGGAGGTCTCATRTGCTAAGGTGGGCAGCAGAGTGGTGGCTGCTGCTTGCTGGTGTGTGGCAGAGCCCACCATGCCCTGGAGGGAGAGCATTTGTGCTTGGCCTTGGTTTTCAGCCCCACTGCATGGCAGGGCCCTTGGGGGGAGCCTGGTGCTGCTCCCCCGCCTTGGCACCCTCTGCCCCTCACAGATGAGCTACGAGCTGTGGCGGGACTTGGAGGAGGAGAGCGASAGCGAAGGCCAGGGCAGGAAGCCTGAGATTGGACATGTTTTCCTCATGGACAGAGGTGGGCTGGGGCAAGGGCAGTGGCCAGGGGCGAGCAGTTTGGGCAGCAGGTCCCGCAGAGGGGCAGGGAAAGCCTGTGTGGAGTGGCAGGAAGAGTGGGACAGCAGCCTGGCTCTGGCTCTCCTTGCAGATGTGGACTATGTGACAGCGCTGTGCTCCCAGGTGGTCTACGAGGGGCTCGTGGACGATACSTTCCGCATCAAGTGTGGTAGGTGACTGGGGACGGTGACAGGGCAGCACGGGGTGCTGCACACAGCTGGACAGCATCTGCAGGGATTATGCCTGGCATTGCCACCACGATGGTCCAGTGTGGTGTGCTGCTGGAGGCATCTACAGGGACAACCCTCACTCTGACCAAGTGACTGGGCTGGCTTCCCCCRGCTCTACTGCTTCTTTACAGCAAAGCTTGTGCATGTGGGAATATTGCTGTGTCTGGGACAAAGCAGCTCCTCACTTTTCCCTGCAGGCAGCGTGGATTTTGGGCCGGATGTCACCTCTTCTGACAAGAGTATTAAAGTGCTGCTCAATTCCCAGGACAAAGTGAGTCCTCACAAGCCTTAGGGGAGATCCCTTGTTGGGAGGAGGCAGAGCAGACCATTCCCTCCCCTAAACCTGAGCAGGAGTGGCTGGTGGCTGCTGGGTCTCCAGAGTGTGGGTTTAGGCAGAGAGACCAGAGAAACGTGGTCTGGGGCTGCAGCTCCACTTCTTCTGAACCTGTCAAGAGTCCCTGCATGGAGGGCTGTGTCACAAATGAGTGTTTTAAGGTTGCTTAAGCAATCACTGGCCAAGGTGTTGGCAAAAACGGGTTTCAGGTAAGAGCTGCAACATGACAAAATTTGTTGGCTAAGTTTTAAATGGTTATAAAGCACACAGACAAAAGGTGAACAAAAATTACAAATCAATTAATCCAAACCAAAATCAACCCAAAAATATATACGTGGAGGTGGAGGTGGGGAATGAGGGGGAATGAAAAGGATAGGAAAGGGTAAGGATAGAAAGGAATATGGAAGACCCTCCTGTTGAGTCACAAGGTTCATAGTAATTTTCCACCCTGGCCACAATTCAGGGTGTTATCTAACTATGGAATTTCATAAAGAAAATATTACTCCACTTGGATTTTCACATTACAAAAGTGAGTTTCCCAGGCTGTTCATTAAAAAGCAGGAGCTCATTAGGCAGTACTAGTTCCTGGAAACAGAGGTTTCTGCTAAGCTGGAGAGGAGCTCAGCCTCGGTGCTGTTGATCAAGGCTGCTCCGTAAGGAGCATTTCTCAGATCATGGTGTGTCCTGGGTCAGAGKGATGCACCAATACAGGCTGCTGTGCCACCAGCTAGTGTTTTGGGGCACAGGTGCCACATGGCCAATGTGCTGTGCAGGTTGCTGGGGAGTGTTGGCCCTGGGGTCTGTGCAGGGCTGCAGCTGGCTGGGGCTTGACCGCTGTGGTGCTTCCACAGGTGTTCAGCCAGATTCGCAATGAGCACTTCTCCAGCGTGTTTGGCTTCCTGAGCCAGAAGTCACGGAACCTGCAGGCACAGTATGATGTGAGTGTCACCCTGCCGTGCAGGACACCTGCGGCACTGTCCTTCTGCAGCCAGGCCATGATCATGATCCCCATGCTCTCCCTYCCGCAGCGGCGCCGGGGCATGGACATCAAGCAAATGAAGGACTTTGTGTCCCAGGAACTGAAAGGACTGAAGCAGGAGCATCGCCTGCTGAGTCTGCGTAGGAGCCTGASGGGAGGGAGGGACCCTTGGCTGTACTGCCAGTGCTGGAGCTCTGGGAAAAGTGGGGGGTTGGGGGGCCCTGAATGTGCCCAGGAGGGGCAGGTCAGGAGCTGTTGGTGTGTGCCAGTGCCCACAGAGCCCATTCCCCTCCAAAGCMGCTGTGTCTCTTGGTTGTGTAGATATTGGTGCCTGTGAGTCTATCATGAAGAAGAAAACCAAGCAGGACTTCCAGGAGACCATCAAGGCTGAACACTGTGAGTGCTGCTCTGTGCTCCTATCTGTGCCTACCCCCATCCCAGTCAGACCCATGGCCTCGCTTGCCCCAGGCCCAGGCAGCCTCACTCCTGAGTGTTCCTGCATGGCCAGCATTCTCCCAGTCCCTTTTTTTGGGGCTGTCTCAAGAGCCTGAGTAGGGTCAGGCTGCACCTTCTGTGTGSTGGAGTGAGGGCCCCATTCCCTGGGGCTTTGGGAGGGCAGCTGAGCCCAGAGCTCAGACCAGCTCAGTGAGCTGGCAAGAGCCCTGCAGTGAGGCTGCCTTTGCCCCTGCCACAGCACTGTTGGAGGGCTTTGACATCCGTGAGAGTACCAGCTTCATCGAAGAGCACATTGACCGGCAGGTGAGACCATGGGGATGCCTACTCCAGCTGCCCCCTTCTGCTCCAGCTGACTGCCTGCTCCCCACAGGTGTCCCCCATCGAGAGCCTGCGCCTTATGTGCCTCCTGTCCATCACAGAAAATGGTGAGTGCCCAGCTGTGCTGGGCCAGAGCGGGGGCCAGGGCGGCCTCTGAGCCCCAGCCCTGGCATGAGACTCACCTGGTTCTCCCCACAGGTCTCATCCCCAAGGACTACCGTTCCCTGAAAACCCAGTACCTGCAGGTGAGGGGCCTGGGCAGTCACTTCAAAGCAAGAGCTGTGTCAGATGGAGGTTCCCCTTCCTGTGGTTCTGGCCATGAGGGGGGATGGTCCCTGCCTCCACAGGCTCTTCATGAGCCTCAGCATCCCCAGGCAGTCTACAGGATAGCCCTGCCTCCACAGGCTCCATGTGAGCCCCAGGCTCTACGTGCCCCTGCCCTGTGCCTGTGGAGGACAGGCACAGGGGACACCCCCCCCCCGCAGTGGGGACACCCTGTCTGCTCCCCATGCTCACACACGGGACTCCACACTGATGCAGCTGCCCCATTCCCAGAGTTACGGGCCCGAGCACTTGCTGACTTTCCACAACCTGAAGCGCATCGGGCTGCTGACGGAGCAGTCAGCCGGGGAGACCCTGACGGCCGTGGAGAGCAAAGTCAGCAAGCTGGTGACAGACCGTGCTGCAGGTGAGCCAGCACACTGCCCCATGTCCCTGGGAACCCGGGAAGGGGCSCTGCTGCCTCAGATCTGGCTGGAAGCACATGGCAAACGTGTGGGTTGCAAGCACCAAGTGTGTCTCCAGTGATGGTGCTGCAGGCAGGGCAGTGAGCTCTGCTGTGGGGGCACTGAGGCTGGCAGCCACCACGGCCATTCTCCAGAGTATGCAGCTCTGCACATCTCTGCCAGCCTGGCTTTGGGATCCAGAGCCTCTTAAGATATTTCTCTTTGTCATRTTTTCCAGGAAAGATCACAGATGCGTTTAATTCCTTGGCCAGAAAGAGTAATTTCCGAGCCATAAGCAAGAAGCTGGGGTTGGTACGTCCTCGTGGGGTGCTGGCTGCCCACAGTGCCCAAAGAGCAGAGCTCTGCTTAGCCTGTGCCTGTGCCTGGGCTGCAGGCTCAGCACCTCAGGGACACACAGCTYAGGGCTGGAGCTGCTGCAGCTGCTCCAGGCAGCCTGGGAGCTCCTCCCCAGGGCTGGGGGCCACTGCCAGCTTCCGACTGTGCCCTGACCCTGAGCCCTGTGAGTGTGGTGCAGGGCTGGGGCTTTCCTTGCCTGCTTCAAACACAGCAGTGGCAATGGGCAGGCAGCCCTGTTTGCTCTGTCCTGAGGTAATGAGAGGTCCTAGGGTGCTRGTGAGGTGACATTTCTGTCCCTGGCCTCCACTGCACAGCCCACCTAGGCCATGCAATCCTGGCTCTGGCGTGGCAGGCAGGAGGTGGGGACAGAGCTGTACTCCAAGTGTCTGTCCCTCCTCACTCCTGCACCTCTGGGGGGGTTGAGGCCCCAAACAGCCAGGTCCTGTACCCCTGGTGTCACCTGTCTCTGCAGATCCCTCGTCTGGATGGCGAGTATGACCTCAAAATGCCTCGGGACATGGCGTATGTTTTCAGTGGGGCCTATGTGCCCCTGAGTTGCAAGATCATTGAGCAGGTGAGCTCACCTGGCACTGGAGAGAGCCGGGCACATCCCCTTGAGCCCCCATCTCCTTTTGTGGACTCCAGCAGGGGTCCCTCTGTTTAGGGCAAGGGCTGATGGTGTTCATTGACTGCTCTGAGCCTCCTGAGCAGTGCCCAGCACCCAGCCTGACACCCCCCTGTCCTTCAGGTGCTGGAGCGCCGGGGCTGGCAGGGCCTGGAGGAGGTGGTGCGGCTGCTCAATGGCAATGAGTTCTGTGTGTCAGGTAGTGGTAGGGGTGAGCTGGGGGTGGTGAGGGTGGGGAGTGGTATGTCCTACAGCACTCTTCCCTATGCAGACAGCGCTGTGGAAGACAACCCTGCCTGGGACTCCCAACGTGTTGTTCTCGCCGTYTTTCTGGGGGGCTGCACCTTCTCTGAGATTGCAGCCCTCCGCTTCCTGGGGAAGGAGAGAGGTAGGTGCAGCCTGGGAAGGGCAGAGAGCAGGCAGGAGCTTGGGGATCCTGCCATTGCAGCATGCAGCCAAGCAGGGTCTGTGCTCAGGGACCAGCACTGGCCAAAACCCATGGGGAAGAGGGTGGTGAGGTACACGGCTCTCTTGGAAAATGGGCCGGGATAGGGCTGGGAGTGTCGGCTCCCCCACAGCACTGCTGGGGCACCGACTGGCCTCTCCTGCAGGGTGCAAGTTCATCTTCCTGACCACGGCCATCACCAACAGCGCCCGCATGATGGAGGCCATGATTGAGGCCAAGGCCTGAGGGAGGGTGCCGAGGGAAGCCTGCCAGTAAAGAGCTTTGCTGACCCCGACCCGGCCTGGCGCTGTGTGTGTGTGTGTGTGTCTGTGTGTGTGTGTGTCTGTGTGTGTGTGTGTCTGTGTGTGTGTGTGTGTGTGTGTGTGTGTGTGTGTGTGTGTCTCTGTGTGTGTGTGTGGCGGGGGCGCTGTTCGGGGGCGGTGCGGGCCGAGGGGCGGCTCTCGGTGAACCTCCAGCGCATGCGCGGAGACGCGCAGGCACCGCCCGGGCGGGTGCACGAGCTCCCGTGCGCGCTCACGGGGCCACTGCCAATCGTGAGCGCGCGGTGGCGCCGTTACATGCGTCAGGGCGGCGGCGCTCTCGCTCCGGATTGGTTGGAAGAGCCGAGGGCTCTCCACTCCCATTGGCTGGGGAGCRGCTTGGGGCGGGGCGGAGGCGCGGGGGGCGCGGCCCGGGTGGCGGTTGTGGGCGGGGCCGTGGTGGTGCGGTAGCCAATCGGTGCGGCCGGGAGGGGAGTTCGAATCGGCGGAGCGGCGGCAACGCAGCGCGGAGCGATGAGGAAAAGGTTCGGGAACGGGGGACCGGGGGGAACAAACCGGGGGGAACCGGGGCTGGGGGTCACGGCTGGACGAAAGCGCCAGGGGGACTGGGTCAGGAAGTCACACCGGGACGGGCGGCGGCTGGGGCGGGGGGGGTCTGGGGCCCTGGGCCTGTCCCTGGCCACTGACGGCCCGCGGTGCCCTCAGCGAGGTGCTGGCGGCCGAGGCCGCGTCCTGCCTGAACCGGGCCATGGCGGCGCTGCGGGACATCTGGGAAGAGATCGGTATTCCCGAGGAGCAGCGCCTGGAGCGCACTGACGTGGTCAAGAAGCACATCAAGGTGAGRGGCGGGGTGGGGATCCCAGTGGTGGGGCGGGGTCACCGGTCTTCTGTTGAGCCGCGTACTTGCTGCAGCTGCAGCGGGAGCCCCGGGACCCGAGCAGCTCGGGGTGAGCTCACCCAAGACTGTTCCCTCGGGGCCCCAGGGAGGGGCTGGCCATGTCTGCTGGGAGCACCCGGGCATCCCTGCCCGACTGTTACTGCGCCTCTGCCCTCGTCCTGTGCAGTACCGTCCCACTGGGCTCCCCGCATTGCCCACACCTCGCTCGGGCCCAGCAGTGGGTCTCTAGCGGTGGTCCTGCTGTCCTACCCACTCTCCCTGCATGTGTCCTACCCACTCTCCCTGCATGTCCCCCGCCCACTCTCTACTCCCACGCCCTGTGTCTAACCACACCTCTGCTGCAGAGTCTCCTGGACATGATGGTGGCAGAGGAGGAAAGCCTGAAGGAGCGTCTCCTGAAGAGCATCGCCCTGTGTCGGAAGGAGCTGGACACCCTGTGCAGGGAGCTCCAGCTGAGCCCCTTTGAGGTGAGATCTGGGRTCCTGCTGGCAGCAGTGCTGCTGTCAGACCTCTGCTTGGGTGTCTCTAGGACCCAGGCGAATATCTATTCAAAACTGTTTTTCCAAGTGCTTGGTAGAGCCGGGGGCTTTGTGGCTCCTCACAGGCCAGGCATTGGTGGGTAATTCTGTGGTGCTGTCCAGCACCTTGTTTTGTGTGTTGCTGGTGTTCTTGCACCTTCCTGGAGAACATCTTGCTCAGACACAGACGTTGTGGCCCTGGTCTTTGTTTAAGAAGCCTGAAGGTGTGGGAGAGGTGTGGAACTGAGCTTAGTTTTGGCCTCTTGCAGACAGAGGAGGAAAGCACCATCCTGCAGATGGAGAAGAACCTGCGCACACGTGTGGAGGTGCTGCAGAAGCAGAAGCGGGACCGGAAGCAGGAGCTGAAGGCCCTGCAGGATCAGGACCGAGACTTGTGTGACATCCTGTGCACAGCTCTGTTCAGCATCGACAGCGGCAGTGTGCCCAGCCTGGAAGATCTGGACCGCTACCGGCGCCATGTGGCCTCTCTCAATACCCTGAAGGTGAGCATGGAGCGTGAGGGTGTCACTGAGGGGCCTGCAAGGGAGGGGCCCTGTTTCCTGATGCTGGTCTCACCCCCAGGAGCAAAGATGGGAAGAATTTGTCAGCAACAARCGTCAGATCATTCTGCTCATGGAGGAGCTGGACCATACCCCAGACACCAGCTTTGAGCGAGATGTGGTGTGTGAGGATGAGGAATCGTTCTGCCTGTCCGAGGACAACATTATGGCCCTTCAGAACCTGCTCAAGCAGGTATGTCAGGCTCTGAGGGAGCGCTGGGGGCTGCTGTGTGTCCTGACAGCAGCTGCCATCGTGACCTGAGGGCAACCACTACGTTTTGGGCAAGGTTGTGTGCTAGAGCACTCTTTTCAGGGGGCTGGAGGACATGTAGTATGCCAAGAGTGTGGCTTTGAGCAAAGGCTGTGCTGACCCCTGCTGTGCTCCCTCCAGCTGGAAGCCCGGCGGGCCCTGAATGAGGCTGTGTGTGAGCAGCTGCGTGCCAGGATCGTCGCACTCTGGGAGAGGCTGCAGATCYCAGAGGAGGAGAGAAAGTCCTCAGCTGTGCACATGGCTGGGTCCAAAGTCAAAACGAGGAGAGCTGTAAGAGCCCTGCTGCATTTACGGTGGGAGGGCTGGGTGGGGACGGCAGCTCCTGGGGATCTCATGCCCCCATTTGCTCAGTCAGGGGTGAGGGGAGCAGGCCAAATTCTGCCCTCATGGAAGGAGGAGCTGGAGGTTGGTGCTGGCAGCTGCCTCATTTTAGAAAGTGGCTCATGCAGAAGATGAATTCTGTTCTGCTCTTCTTCCCTGACCTATGCTCTGGTCCTGGGGACAGTTGCAGCTGGAAGTGGACCATCTGGAGGAGCTGAAGCTACAGAATATGAAATCTGTGATCCATGCAATCCGGGCAGAGCTGGCTGACTACTGGGACAAATGCTTCTACAGCCAGGAGCAGAGAGAAGGCTTCAGTCCCTTCTATGATGGTGGGTGCTGGCTGGCCAGGCAGTTTTGGGGAGGGATCCCAGGGGTTCTGGCAGCCCCTTGATTTGGCTGTTGTGCCCTTCCAGAGGATTACACAGAGACCCTGCTTGAGCTGCATGACGCTGAGGTGGGCAAGATGAAGATCTACTATGAAACACACAAAGATCTGTTTGAGGCTGTTCAGAAGTGGGAGGAGAACTGGAAGCTGTTCCTGGAGCTGGAGGTATTTGTCCAGGCAGGAGCATGCTGGCTCATGGGTCAGTGTGTACCTCTGCTCTCGTGGGCAGAGCACTCTGGGAAGCAGCAGAGAGGCACTGGGCAGGGATGGAGTCTCAAGTGCTGGGATGTYTGTGAAGGGCTGCCTCCTCTGGGGCCTTTACCACATGAGGTTGAGGGGACTGGGTGGTATATTTGTGTCTCTCCTGACCCCCCCTTCTCCACCAGAGTAAAGCAAATGACCCCAGTCGCTTCACCAATCGTGGAGGGAACCTGCTGAAGGAGGAGAAGCAGCGAGCAAAGCTGCAGAAGACACTATCCAGGGTAGGTGCAGCCCTGGGGAAGGGCCTGTGGTCACAGTGACAGAGGAAAAGGGATCCTTGGGTGTGGGGACACCTGCATCCAGGGCAGCCCCTACACTGTCCTCATGTCCTGAGCAGCTGCAGGAGGAGCTGGAGAGAAAGATTCAGACCTGGGAGCAGGAATTTGAGGGAGYTTTCCTGGTGAAGGGGCAGCAGTTCTTGGAGTACGTGTCAGAGCAGTGGCAGCTATATCGTCTGGAGAAGGAGAAGGAGAAGCAGGAGCGGGTGAGTACAGAGCTGAGCGTGTGGGCTCCTGCCTGGGTGTGTCCCTGACTCCTGCCTAAGAATGCCAGCTTAGGGGAGTCCCTGCTGGGCCCCAGCCACTGCCCTGGGCTCTGCCTGCTCATTCCCAGCCTGGAAGTGGCAGGCAGTGGGGCAGGCACTCATTGCTGTCACAGCCTTGTGGGCCGAGCCCCTTTCTAGCCCCAGGCGCTGGATACTGTAAATCTCTGATGAAATTCCTGCTGTGCCAGGCTGTCAGCAGGGCAGTGCCCACTGGCAGTGTCACAGATGCACCAGCTCCATGGTGCTTAGGTGTGTAAGTGCAGCTGTTTCCCACAGCACCTGAAGAAGAGCCGGCAAATAGAGACAGAGATGCTCTACGGCAGCACCCCACGGACACCCATTAAACGGCGCATGCTCAGCCCCCACACACCTGCCAAAGTAAGCAAGGTAAAATGTCCCTGCARAGCAGTGTGATACACTGGGGTCCTGCCTGGAGCTGAGCTCTCCCTGGGCGGGAACACAGCCTTTGGCCCCGTGGGAGGTGGGGGAAGGTGTTAGGATGCTGCAACTCCATGGAAAGATGTCCCTTGTGACGTGCTCTGCTTTCTCCTCAGCTCCACGGCACCTCCATTGCCAGCGCCACCCCCAACAGCACGGTTCGCTCAGCCTTTGGGGGAACCATCTCCCACTCACCCACATCTCGGCTGCCACCCTCCGGGAAGAAGGTAAGGGGCCTTGGGGGAGTCCCTGCCTGGGGCTGGGCTGGAAGGGACAGATGAGCTGAGGTGTTCAGCTCTTCTTGCTGTCACCTCATGTTCACTGCCTCTCCTGCTGAGCTCCTGGGGGACAGAAACCCGTTTGTTAACAGTCTGCTTTGTGAGGCTACTGCCATCCTGCTGGGGTCTTTCTGGGACCCGAGGGAAGAGGAGGGTGGCAGGAAATCTTCCTCCAGCCCAGATTTCTAGTGTATTTCTGKTTTTAGGGCTGAGCCTGCAGCTTGGGGGACCTTCAAAATGTGGGTGTGCTGTTGGACAGGGTCTGAGCACTCTGGTCTAGTGTGTGGCATCCCTGCCCATAAAAGGGGGATGGAACAAGATGGGCTTTAAAGTCCCCTCCCCCCCAAACCATTCTAGGATTCTGTAATTCTGTCCTGTATTTTTCAAGGACCAGAATTGGACCCAAACTCTGGAGAGCTCCTGGCACTTCTCTAGCTCTGCAGAGTGATGGGTAGTGAAGCTGCCACAGCTCTCCTGCCTCTGCTCAATTCCTGCATTCCATAACTGTCCCTTCTCCACAGTTTGGCCGGGCCCGGACTCCCAGCCGCATGGCAGCGAAGCCCCCCCGACCCAGGCTGAGGGAACGGAACAAGGAAAACATGTCCCAGCTGGATGGAACCACCCTGAGTGGTGGGTGCACCCCCACAGCCCTTG